GCCTCTTCAGCAAGTTCAAACAACAAACACTTAGGATTTAATGAGTCAGGAATAAGTCATAATCAACTTAAACATTTTTACATTTTGTAATTGTATTAGTTTGACAGTATAAAATGTTTCTGTAAAGATCTCATAGTCATATCCATGATTGTAAATGAACTCTTTTCAGATTGACAACAGACATAACACTTCAGCTTCCAACTGCTACTGTCTCAGTAGGTAAGGTAGTTATAGGAAAGTGGTTTATTCAAGTTCTCACCCAATTGCTCAACCATTGCTAATGCTAATGACCAGATCTATGTAAAGATATTTGGTGATGAGACAGATCATAGAAATGGAGTCATTCTTTTCTTAAAGGTTTTATTGCAACATGAACAGAAACAGCTTCAGCTAAAATTTGAACACAATTTGATATTTCCATTTTTTTTTTTTTTTTTGCTGATAACCATTCCTCCATCCTGCATCTTTCTTACTCACAATCATACAAATCTATAAATAAAGACTTAGGATGTTTAGGAATTATAATAAGGTTACATTTTGAAGAAATTCTTTAGGTTTCTAAATATATTTAATTTTAATTAATAAAACGTTTGCCTTTCATTCTTAGATTGTCTGAAAAGTAATGGCCAATTTCAAATGTTGATGTTTTAGTGGTGTGCATCAATAAGAATAGTTGTCCTTCAAATATTGTTCTACACATTGATGTATTCAGGAAAAATAGGCCATCTTAAATAAACTGTTATATAAACCACACATGGATGTTGCAGTTACTTCTGATGGGGCAGTGTTATTGGTTGCAAAATGTATATAATAGAGACATGAATTCCAGTTAATGCACCTCACCTGGGTTAGAGAATTTTGCTATTGGACATTGGAGACTGGTGCCATGTCACCTGGTCAGAAGAGTCACAATTTCAGCTGTTTCAGGCAAATGGTCAATTTCATGTATGGAAGAGAGGGCATGAAATGATGGATCCAGTTTGTAGTTATAGGAAAGTGGTTTATCCAAGTTCTCACTCAATTGTTCAACCATTGCTAATGCTAATGACCAGACTTATGTAAAGATATTTGGTAATGAGACAGATCATAGACCAACAGTGAAACTAGAGTTTACCTTGTTAGGTGTGATATATACAAACCATTTACACTCGATTATATTTGCTGGTGATAGCGGCTTGTTCCAGAAAGATAATACAACCACCCCAGTATACAGGTGATATAAAATTGATTCCACAAACACTTGGCTGACTTTTCTGTACAGATTTAAACTCCACTAAGCATGCATGGGATATGTTACAGACCTGACTAAATTTCCTTTGTTATGGAGAAATCTGTGTGAACAGAGATACCCACACTTCACACAGATACCATGCCATATGATGTAGCTGCTGTTATTCAGGTGAAGGAACAGAACTATACATTATTAGGTAGCTAGATCTAATTTTTAGCTTATATATTCGAATCCACTCTTTTAAATATAATTAGCATGCATGTTTGTCAAGCAAGTGATGAAGGGTTGTTTCATATAATGCTTTCAAATAAACACACACTCATATATACACATGCAAAGGAATGGTGAAAAGTTATGCTTTTTAAACATCTGATCAGATTCTGGGAGGTGGGTTGATCTGAAAAAATTTCAGTGCACCCTTGTATTAGGTCTGTCCAGAAACTATCCAGTGATTTGGATATCTTGAGAACTGGTTCCACATCCTTGATATGACTTACTGCACAGTCATGAACACTCTCCCATAAGTAACTCAGTCAGCAGTAAGATGTCATGGATTGAGATTCTATATTGTGTGACTGTCATATCCACAAGTTTTGCTTGAAATGTTGACATTCATCAGCAGAAACTATTCAATAATTAAAAAGGTTTTGAAGGCTGATTCAATGAGAAAATCACAGATAAAAACTTTGATATAGACACTTCATATTTGGCTAGGACTTCACTGAAAGCAATCCTCATTCTGGAATGCTTTCAACAGGCAGAACACATGAAAAAGTTGAATATCTGTGAGTTGAAATCAAAGGAAATCAACAACTGATAAAAATAGAAAACCTGAGGGTTCTATTGAGTGTCTTCAAAATATTTAGGTATGTTGAATATCACAACTGCCTATTTTTTGATAATTGAATCACCCAGGTCTGTCAGTTCTGTTATAGTCCAATTTTGATTACTAAATCTGAGGTTGTCAATGAAAGTGAAGAGATTTCAGACCATTGACTAGATTAAGGAGGACATGGTGAAACAGCTGATGGTAATACTGAAAGAGGACTTTGTGGACAATTCTGCAAAGTGGAAGTGATATTGTAGTGTCCCTAAGGCTAATTTTTCAAAATTATAAACGACTGGAATTTTTCTGGACTGTGCTGGTATATGTATGCATATATGTATCTATTCATGATTTTATGTTGTACCTTGGAGTTGTTGTCAAATTTTAGTGTTAAAATTATATCGAATTCTTTAATCTATTAGTTATCTGAATGAAGATTTCTTTCAATCAATTCAATGTTTTATCCCATATCTACACACACACATTATAAGCAGTCAATTGCTGGTACCCCCTGAAGAGCGAACAGACAGGTCCGTCTACAAAACTCTGGAGCCAATGATGCTGAAGGTAACATCAATCAGCTAAGTGAGAAACATTTACTTATATTAATACTCTGAGAAACTTTTGCAAGGAATGCCAAAAATTTGTGCTGCAGTAATCAAGGCCAAAGAAGGATATTTTGACAAGAGCAAAATTTAATCATAAAATGCCTTTTTTCTTTTTGTCATAATAAAATTTCTAATAAAACATCATATCTCACTTTTTTTAACCATGTATAATAATTTTCTCTTATTTAAAGTACAAAACAACTAGTTTTAGGGCCAATTTAAATAATTACCAAGAGTTGCCTCAAACTTTTGAACTATATACAGGGTGACTGAAAAGTAACTCCTCATTTTAAAATACTTATAATTTATTTATTAAATATAATTTTTATAAGAAATGGATATGGTAAGTGTTTAGGATGAGGTTTTATTTAAATTTTGCTACCAGCTTGTTGAGCCACCCAGGAATTGTGTCAAATGATTTCACCAGGAACTCTTGTGGTATGTAAGATCTAACTTCTTGTATTCACCCTTCAAGTTTTTCAAAAGTCTTGATTTAGTATAGTACACTTTCTCCTTTAATCAATGCCAAAGAAAAAAGTCACCGGGTGTTAAGTCAGAATTCCTGGCTGGCCACTCATACATAAAATAGGGAGTTACTTTTCAATAACCCTATATATCTTACTACTCCAAGTGGGTATCCACAAAAGATTCTTTAGAAATAGAAAATGAATATGTATGTGCACACACATACAGACAGGTGTGCATTCTAGGCACACATGTTGGGTTCTATATAACAGCTTAAAATGAGCTATTTATATTTATTTCAGAAGAAAATAAGAATTATCTAGAAGTCATCATTTAATTATTAGTTAATTCATTATAATGAAAAAAAAAACATTAGTAGGAATGGAAAGAAATATACATGTTTTAGTATGTGTGAGTGTGTGTTGACAATGGATTAACAGCCATTTCTTGTTACTAATGCTTAGGTACTTAAAGGAGAGTGATTTACTCAGCCACCCACTCTGCAGTAAATGATCATGACATGCAAGTGACAAAATATTTTTTGCCAAAATATCTAGCAATAGGATAATGTAGTGAAAAGTGGATTCATGCCTTTCCCTAGGGTAATAGTGTGAAGTGAACACAAGCAGCTTCAGCCAGAATTTTATCTCAGACTGCTGATCCTGCTTTTCATACTCATAATAATAATGTGTTGCATATATATATATATATATATATATATATATATATATATATATATATATATATATATTTAAATAAGTTTTTTGTGGTACAGAATTTAATAATAGATAGGAAAAGACAATATTTATAAGACATTTTTAAAAGCAAAAGCTAAAATAAAAACAACCGGTTTCATCCCAGGACTTATCAAGTTTATTTATTCTGGGAATTTAAAATCCAGCGTTTGGATTCGAGAATAAAACAGCATTTACGCCCCCAGGATTTTGAATCTGTCCTCCAGGAATAGCCAACTGACTAACAGTTTTGGTTCTGCTATTGCTGACCATTTAATAAATAGAAGGAAATGTGTGGAAAATTTTAATGGTGACCGATTTATAATTTTATCTAGGTCCCACTCCACATTTCACCTCAAGGTGCTAGAGTCCTTGTATGTCAGATCTCGTGAGCCTTCCCTTTGTAAACAGGGAATGCTTGCTGGGTCTGAATATTATTGGACTCTAGTTTCTTGAAATTCATAATTTTTTTTTTTTCCCCCATTAGATTACATTCGTTAATTAAAATTTACACGCTTTTTAAATTCCCAGAATAAATAAACTTGATAAGTCCTGGGATGAAACCGGTTGTTTTTATTTTAGCTTTTGCTTTTAAAAATGCCTTATAAATATTGTCTTTTCCTATCTAATATATATATATATATATATATATATATATATATATATATGTGTGTGTGTGTGTGTGTGTGCATGTTCATATTTTAAATAAACATCTACAATAATGTAAATATACAGACTGTGTGTGAAATAGAAAGACTGGATATTGATTAAAAATATGATTCCATGTCTTTTATATAAGTTTTATTTGAAGAGTCTTCAATGTTTGGATCCTCTTCTGAGGGTTGTCCTTCAGAAGGAGGCAATGGAACTGAGCAAAATTTGTGTGTCAACATATGAAGCAGTTTTCATTTTTAATCATATATAAAAGAAAGCTTACTTACCAAACACACACTCACAAACTACACACACACATACATACATACATACATACATACAATGTATTTGTCTGGCAAAAATCTAAGACTGGCCAGTAATTTGTGTACCTTTTTTTCATTCATTGAATGATAGCAAAATGCACTTGTGATTAAGTTTAAACTGTTTTGTTTAAAAAAGATTGGAATAAAGTGTAGATTTTTCTAATCAGGGGCAGATTTAAAGCTTAACTTTCGATTTCTTACTACAGATATCAGTTCAACTGGGAAAGGTTGAGCATCGTCATCTAAAGTCTCTTTGTCAGAAGGTTGGTCAAAAGCTTTTTCTTTCTTTAAAGTAAAACTGGAACCCTGCCAACCAATGTTGTGCACCTCATCTTCTGAAGGATACTTAATCCGGTTGACTGTAGACCGAGACTTTCTTCTGTGTGTTGTAGATCCAACAAGCCTCTGTTCCTGCAACTGACTTACCATGGATGAATAGTTCGTAGTTAGCACATCAGCAGGTGAAGCAGTTGGGGCATTGTGAGGATAACTGTCAGCCTCATCAGAGCTGTCATCATCAATACTGATTGGTTCTGTCTTGATGTTGGAAATAGAAATTATTTTTTCTGCTGGACACTCAATGTCCAAAGAATCGATACAAGAGTCTTGGATATCAGCAGCTGGTAAGTTGCTGAGTTCATCATATTTGCTGCTTGGGGTATCAATACCCTGAAGGCTTTCATCCAAAGTGGGCGAAAGGCACAAAAAATGTTTGTTCTCTTCTTTGCTCAACATGACTTCAGGAGATGAAATGACCAAACGTTGATAAATACTTGAAGATAATGTTTTCTTCCGAGAGGGTCTGGAGTGGGTGGAAATGCTGTCCATCTCTTGTGAGGAAATATCATCATCTGCTTTAAAGTTGACTATCTGGATGGAGTCATAAGGTGATGATGGCCTTTCACTTGGGTCAATTTTAACATTAGTAGAAGCAAGGTCATGTGGAGAGAGATGAGCAGCACAAAGCATTTCAAGCTCCTTCATTCCAAGCTGCAGAGCCATTTGCCGCATTTGACTCAGTAAATGAACACTTAAGTCAAGCACACCATTGTAAATATATTCTGCAAATGCTGTCAGTGCTTCATGGCTGATGGCTTGAGGGAAATTCACTTGGAGAAAACGATTTGATTGACCACTGCTGTTAAACATGGATAGGAGTTTTGGGCACACTGCTAAGAGAACAATTTTGTGAACCTGAAAAGAAAAAAAAAACAGTTGTAAAATTGAGATTTATAATACTGAAATGTAACAAATCTTAGAAGTATGCAACTATTACAAGATATGAAAGTTTAATTTAAAAGGAAAAGCATTTTCAGATGAAAAAATATACTAGAATGTATCAATTAAAAAATTATAGAAAAGTAACGTCAAAAGTTCAGAGATTTTCTGAATTGATAATGAATAACTGTTAATCATAGTCCATCATTATAAGTTGGGTAAGTATCGTAATGAATTTTTCAGAATAAGAAAATCCTTCTGACTAAAGATTTATAAATTTATTCAAGCATGAAATTGCCAATTTATATAAACAAAAACTGGAAAAAAATATTCCACACCTCCTTGATTTTGCTGTCCCCAATACAAAACACACTACTTGGGCTGTCCCTTTTGCTGATAACCATGCATTCTGTCTTCTTACAATTAATGGTTAGTCTTTTCTTCTTGCTTTCCTCAAGTACCATGTCTAAGTCCTTTCAGTTGTTTCTCTTTCATTAGATAAAGAATTTCACACTATTTACATTATTCAGACTATTGTCCTCATCTTTGTTGCCATATTTATCACAATGTTTCGGCTGTTGTATGCTCCAGCCTTCTTCAAGTGGTTGGAATATCGAACTGAACCCTTTATTTTGCTCACTAGTTCCATGTCTAATGGATGTCAGTTAACAGTTATCTCCTGTTAATTCCCCTCTCCAAGTTCTCCACTGCCTTGACCAGGTATTGAACTTACACTCTTTGGGTCCTGTCACTGGATCTAACTAACACCTTTATCCACTGTGCCATGTATCCTCAAAGAGCTGAACTTAGAGAGGGGAATTAACAGGAGATAACTGATAACTGACATCCATTAGACATGGCACGTGGAACTAGAACAGTCTACCCCAGCGTGATAAATAAAGGGTTCAGTTTGACATTCCAACCACTTGAAGAAGGTCGAGATACAAAATGAAACATTTGTGATAAATATGGCAATAAAGATGAGGACAATAGTCCGAATAATATAAATAGTGTACATAACACCTCATTTCAGAAATATAGACAGATAAAGAATTTTACATCATCGACTTTATTTTTCTTGTCTTTCTTCCTTTCGAATGACTTCATTTGCTGTTGTCATTAATATTTCCCTTAAGGTCTTCCAGTTTGAGTTCCTGACATGTTCCAAAGTTTCATTTTGTTCTTAACTACAACTGCATATGTTGATTTGCAAATGCAATCACTGTTGAGTCAGTCATATTGTAGTTTATGTATTGCTTTAGTGTTCTTTAATTTTTACAATTTTACCCTTACTTTGACTGGGAGATGATTGCTCCCACAGACAACACTTGGGTAGGTTTTAGCATACAATACTACACTTCTAAATTGGTTGTTGGTAGTTAAGTAGTCTATCTTGTTTTTAATGTCTCCTGCCAGCCTATTCCATGACCACAAGTGTCTTGGATGTTCTGCAAACCGGATGTTGGTTATAATTTAGCCATTCATTGTGCACCAATGAACCCATTTTTCTCTGTGTTCATTAAATGATCTAAGTTCATATTTACTGGCCATTTCACTATCTTGTTCTTGTCCTGCTTAACCCCACCTCCAATTGATAATAATGATTTCTTGTGTCTCACTCTGGTATTTGGCATTTTCTAGTGTGTTATAAAAACCATCTAACTCATTGCTAAATTATTGGGTGTCCAGACTATCAACTCCTAATGATGAAGAGCCAAGAATGACCTAAATTTATTGATGATACTCAAACAACTAATACAGAACACCATGTATATGCAATCCATATTGCTGTTGAAATGTTAGAAGCATTTCCAGATAGCAAAAACTCACCATCACAATAGTAGTTCCATTCCCAATTCCAGCATCACAGAGTTGACCCTTCTTCCAAAGACTGGCTAGACTTGTCATAACATTGCGTTGATGTTCGGAGACAACAAGCATCTTCCGATGTTGGGTGGGAGGAACTGGAGTAGTTGGTTGGAATGTAACCTTGGTCTGAGGTAGAGACAGCTTTGGTACAGGTCTTTCTTTTGGAACTTGACTTGGTTCCACAAGGGTCACACCATCACTGTAGATAAAATTTAGAAGAAACAAGATTGAACATCAGCAGAAAGATTTGTAATAATTATGTAAATATAAAGAGTTCATAGAAGTAATGATGTCTATACAATGACATTAACAGGCAATCAGAAAACACAATCTAATTAAGTAACTTGAACACTCAGAATCTTAATAATGAAAACAGTCTACCTCATGGCTGTTATGTATTTATCGCCAGCATTGACAGTTGATGTTCAAGTCCAAATAAAGGGAATTATGAATACTGATTTTCAAGGCAGGCTGACCCACCCTGCATGGAAGATTGGCATAATGTAATATTTTTAGCACCATTTTCTCTAAGCTTAGGAAATGTAAATAACAGAAAGTGTGAGGGTCAAAAGGTTATTCTTTTTGGGGCTTACAATTTAAGTGTTGTTTTTATCACTTCAGCCATCAGAACTTCCGATGAAAGAAGCTGTTAAATCAACTTCAAGTTTTATTTTTCAAATTCTGTGGCCATTTTTGTTTTCTTCTAATTTAAGAAGATTTCACAGGGCTATATTACTAGTTTACCTAGAGAGGCTCAAACTCATTACACTACCAATGACCTGTGAGAATAGTCACAATTTTACAGTAAACACCTACGTGTACATTTAATAAGTTTACTCCAGTCTGACAGAGGACTAAAAAGTGGGGTGCCCAGTGAGAATCAAACTTACTAGCAATGGTTTGTGAGGTCAGCTTACCAACTATCACTTTATGGTAGGTAGTTTAGTAGATATTTACCAAGTTAATCTAGCACAAGAATACAACAGTGAAGCACACAGTGAAGAACAAATTCAATACAGAACATTAAACTGATAAACATTAGTCTATGATCAAATTCCTATGTGGAGATTTACTGTTTAGTACGGTGCTACAGTAGGAAGGTATGCGCAAAGAATAAATGCACTATCAAAACTAAATGATGTAATAAGACAGAGAAAAATATTGTTAAATACAAAGAAAAGATTGCTGAATTCCTATATACCAGCGAATGCAGGGAGATTTCTTCACAGATGAAGGCGAGACTTCTAATGACAGAGATGTGGATCTATCAAAGAATGCTAAGAATACCATGAGCATAACATGTGATCAATAAGGAAGTCTTAAGGAAAATAAGAACAACATTGAAACTTATACTTACAAAGAAACAAATGATAATTCTGAGAAACATAAGGAGAAAAGTGGGCCTAGAGAATTGCAGGACATATTGGAAGCATGGAGAAACAGCAAATAACCTACTTAATGAGTTTTTGTGAATGGATGGCAAAACAGGAAGAAAAATGTAAAAAATTACTTTGACCAACAAAAGCCAGAAAGTTGTGAAGAGCCATAATCACTTATGTCCTGAAGAATTTGGCACAAAAAAAGACCAAGAATGATTTACTTGCTAACAAGTGCTCTACAGTAGGCTCCTTGGTGTCACTGACTTGAAGAGAGTGAAACTCAGAATAATTAATATTTCCAATTACATTATGCTTAAATTAAAGAAAAAAAAAGAAATACATGATAAATATTTCAAGAATTTTAAAAGCCAGTCTAAACTTAAAAAAAAAAAAAGCAGCACAAAGAATTAAATTTGAATTAGGATTAAACTTTTGGCTATAATAAAAAAAATGATTTTTATTGTCACTAAGTACAAATTCAAATTAGCTATATGGATATAAAGTAAAAAGAAACAGTCATGAGCAGGCACTTGATATGCTTACAATGCAGTTGGTCTGCTGGCAGAATTCCAGTTTAATCTATTTTCTTTGTCTGTATTAGGGACAGTTGCTCAGAAATACCTTAATGTATTAGCAGCTTTAGTTTAGAAATGTTAGCTACTCAGATGCAAAAACTAACAAATATTTTTGTCTTAAAAGGAAAAACAACACAATTAATATTACCACAAATAAAATTAACTGATTTTTTTAATAACCAGTTACAACCAGTTTTCTTGTATCATAACTTTATTTAATAACATTCTAAGCGTAATGGAAATAAACATAGAAACCCTAATAATTACAATCTCTTGTTTGCAAATTAAATTGTAGTCTCCCTCTTGTTCCCAATTTTGTTTTCCATCATTTTAATTACCAAGTCATTGATTGATTGATTCATTCATTTTCTATGGCTTATCAACCCTTTGCAGGTTATTTAAAGCCAGAAAATATTTTTAGAGAGTAAGAATTTTTTTGAGATAATAATGGTTTAGTTAGGCAAATCTTACAAATTAACCCATAACTGGGGCTGGGGGAGAGAAGGTAGATTCATACATTTCCCAGTGGGTATTGCACATCAGTGAATATAATGAACTCAACAGGAATTGGAACTTTACTCTCTAATTAACAATTCTGTGCCATTATCCATTACACAAGATGCACATCCAAGCTTACAGCACCTGGTATTTCCAAGCAGACACCCATCTATGTACTGACCAGGCTCGACATTGCAGTGTTGCAACGTGATGTGGTCATAAACCACCAAACCCTAGAGATAAATAATTTGTAGGCTTTACTTAATAATGGTCCCAAGGTGATGCTTGTAATTCAGATATGCCAAAGAGAAACCATAAAGTGAAAAGATGAAAGTTCTTCACTTAATAAGGAAAGAAAAAAAATCATAATCTGATGTTGCTAACATCTACATTAAAAACAGATCTGTCACATAACTGTTTTATTACAGTACAGAAGTGTTCTATTTTATTACTAGTTATTGTTGATAATATCTTTATTGTGGCTAAATTTTATCATAAGCTTGTAAGTATAAGAAAGAACAGTATATATAGGGTTTAGTTCTATCCAAATTCTCAAGCATCTGTTGAAAGAGGTATTTTGGAATATACCTTCAAAGGATAATGGTGGAGGAGGACTAAAGTATTGATTAAGAATTTATTTTATGATTTACTTTTATTTCTTGTTATCTTTTTAGTGACTTCATTACAAGAAGTTTGGGGTTGTTTGTAAAAATGGTAATTATATGGACATCTATTTTACCACAAAATATTTTTTACTGTTCTAATAATTATATATATTAATATCATCATCCCGTTTTGAATGCAACAATAAAAGACTGTTTAAAATTATCATTGTAGGAGAACAGTCAATGATATCAAGTGAGGTGCTATGTTCAGAAGGGCCTAAACTCTGCTATGATAATGTATCTTATTAGTTTGTGACAAGTCAAGACATGGCACATCTTTTAAGATTAAAAAATATATGAAAACAATTTGTTTACAGTCTTTAAAAGAAGGTCAGTAAAAGAAAGGCTGATTTTAACAACAGGAGAATGGAGACACTGAGTTAGTCTTTTTAACTTTAGGAAGGAAATGTTGAAACTTCCTCAGAAGGTGCCATCATTGCCTAGTACTCTTTAAAGAATGCATATTCCAATTTCTTCACATAAACTACAGATTCTCAATTATCCACAAGTCTCTGTAAATTCACATGTTAACTGAAACTGCTTTCCAACAAATTGTGTCAATGCACCTTGGGGGAAGAATTTTCTTATACTTCATGGACTAGATGAAATAAAACCATTGTCTTTTACAATTTTAAACATATCATTTCCTACATCAGTCCAGAAATTATAACTTATACAGGATGAGGCAAAAGTTGCACACCACAGGGATAATTAATTAAAAGTATAATTACACATGGATATTTTATTTACTAGTTATTTAATAATTATATATGCTGTTCAAAATGTTCCCCTTTTTCAAAACACATTTCAATTCTGTCTGCATGAATCATTAACACATTGGGGATTTTCCTCTGTCATTTTACGCCATTCATATTTAATTCTTTAAGTTCCTCAATATTTCTTGGACGTGTCTGATAAACAACTGATTTCAAATGACCCTACAGAAAAAAAATTCAAGGGTGTAAGGTCTGGTGAGCTCAGTGGACACTCAGCAGGACCTCTTCGACCAGCGATTAACCTTTATGGTGCACAACTTTTACCTCACCCTGTACAATATTACAAGTGTGGAATATAGACACAATGGTGGTCATTTATTTCCAATTAATTTTTGTACTACATGCTACATGATCTTTGTTTTTTTTAAGATATGTCCTATAAAAAAAAACTGTTAGAAACTCTTAATCTATATGAGCCTATAAGACCAACACAAACAACAGCTGCTGGCAGTTGCAGTTAAAAGAAATATGCTAATAAAATCTTATTTGGAAAACAATAGCCGTACTATTCACTGGTTCTTTTAGATTAACATCCTCATCTTACAATTATTCCCTATTCAATATTACACAGGTTAGAAATGATTCTTATTGGTTTAAGAGTGTTTCTTGTCAATTATGACTGAGTTTCTGACTTAATTTAATCTTTCTTCAATCAATCTCTTTTTTTTTTTTTGCTAATTACAAATATTCTTAACATTTAGTCTAAACATAATTAACTTTAGATATCTTGATAGATGATTTTGTAATCAGATTTGTTTGAGACAAAGATGTGAGACAAAAGAACTATTTAAGCTTAGCTCAATCTAGCAGGTCATATTAAGGTATCTTGTAAGTATCAAATTCACTATACTAGCAAATGATCTGTGGGACTAGCTTGCCAAGCATTTAACAATAACAAATTCAACCAGAATTGAACTGCACAAATTATTAGGTTATATACTAAAAGATAAAGATCTTTTTTCCCAACACAGTTTAATGAGATGTATTTTTTCCTCCAATCCTTGAAATTGACCTGATCCCATTTGATAAATAAGAAAAAAATCCTGCAGAAACTTACCTATTCTCTTGTTGTTTGCAACTCTTGCTATCAAAATATCTGCGCAAGATTTTGGACGGATGTTGTTCCTGTAGTTCTGCACTGGTCACAGTGGCCGAAGCTTCTCTCTTGTTACCATGGTTCTCAGACAAACTTTTTATTTCATTGTTGGATGCCTGCTGAGAAACAAACATAGGGAGAAATAATGTAAACAGTTGGAACATTATTTTATTTTTTATTAGGTGAGAGATGGTTGAAAAAGAAAACAAAAATCATTACCTACTGAGATGCAGACCTTACATCATGCAAATTTGCTGCTTTTCATTTATTAGATTCTCATGCATGGTCAGTGCAAGAATCTTGTGGACCCCCAATGAATCTATGATACAGTCCCCACTCCCTTGAATCTATGATATGGGCCCCTCCCACTCTACTATATCTCAATTTTCATAAGGTACGTATTCAAATAAAATACAAATTTTATTGTAACCTAATCATGTACATTAATGAATCATATGCAATGTAGGTGAATGATTTAACTAGAAAAATTGAAAATAAATGCAATGTATCTAAATACAAATTAGAGACATGTCATAATGGATCATTTCATTTTAAATAAGTCAACAATGTTTTGTGGTAATTTTTAACATCAACTTGAAATTTTTTCTTTTTAAAAATTTTAACACATTTAACATTATGGATAAAAAATAATGAATTTTATAGAGTGTATTTTGAGACTTAGTATGAGCAAAACAAATTCATGCATTTGTACAAAAAACAAAACTTAGAATGATGTCAAGATCTGCAAACATTTTTCATCCTTTAATAGTCAGTTGTGCTTAGTTTAATTTGTAACATATATAAATGTAAGTAGAAAAAAGCAAATTTTGATAAGATAGTGAAGGTCAAAATCAGACCTGAAAAGTCGGGTGGTAGTATGCACCAGCATTGTTCTCATGCACAGTAGACTTGTTAATGAAAAGAAAATGATCTTCAAATTTTTCACCAAATAAGTTTATCTATTTGTATCAGAGAACATCAAGCTATAAATGATAGAAGTGACTGCCACATCAAACATATTTGCAGATAATAAATATTCAATTATCAAACAAGAATTGTGAGTATTACAATATTCTGAGGCTAGTTATTTGCTAATCAAAGTCTGACACAAGTTCATATAAGTAGGGTACTTGACAGAACATGCTACACTAACAATCATCTAGAAGACATAGTTAACTAATAATCAGCCCCAATGATGTGAATAAAGATCAAATATTAACTATTTACAAATGTTTGTCAACTGAATATTGATCAGTTACATCACTATAAATCCTAGTTTTGATTTGATAAATTCTTTAAGAAATTTTTCAATGCATTTAATTTGTTTAAACCATTATGTGTTTAATGGTGCAAAACAAGTGATAGTCTAAAAGTGACATGTCTGGGGAATACACCATATATGTGAAGAATTTCCAATTCCAGAATATTTGCTACCTGAGAACAGATATTGTCTTGCAGCAAGGCAAACTGCTTGTCCAGAAAATTGACTTTTCTTTTCTTTGACATGAACTAATTGCTTAGTGTATCATTACAGAGTAATAGTTTGTCCAGGTTCCCGACATTAAAAAAAAAAAAGAAAAAAAAAGGATTCCCTTTGAATCTAATCAAACATGGAAATATATTTTATAAATATATAAAATATTTATATTACACTTGGAGATGATTTTGACCAAAATAACGTGTAACTATCACTTTTCCATAAACAATTCTTATAGAATATGCAGATGCAAGCAATAAAGGGTAATGAGTAAAATTCAAAAACACCATAATTTATGAAAAAATGACATTAAAACTTTTGCATAAGCCTAATAAAATGTACAGGAAAAGAAAAGAGAATATATTAAAAATACAACAAATGAGAAAAACAAAAAATGGTTTCTATATTTTTTACTCTGACATATTAAAGAAATTTCAATGAAAATAAAATTTTGGTTTATTTTTGCATGTGAAATGAATACAAAACACTACTCACTTCACATAAAAAGAAATTAAAAAAATTAAAACCTGACCCATTTGCTAATTTTCATTTTCAATAACCTATTTGTCAGACTTGGTCAATTACAAGGTGTAGTAAAACCACAAGAAGCTAGTGACCTTATTAAAGGCTTTATTCACCTAACAAAGAATACAGAAAATAAAAAGAAATATATTAAAGTGGAACAGTCCATCCGAGATGAAATAGAGGGTTTACTTTTTAAACAGTTCATTCTCCCTCCTTTATTTTATAAACATATATTTTTTATGTTTCATAGCCCATATAACAGAGGGGCTTTCAACACTCTCAAGTAGACTGCCATACTGCTCCAGGGGTAGAATGTTCTATTTCAGGTTGGATCTCTCTAGATTCTGAAGGCACAGGAAAAGCGATCAGCAACTAGTTTCAATCACAGGCTCAGCCAGTGGCATGGACACCAAGTCACCAAGGTACATGAGATAGGGGTTCCTTAGAACCTGAATCTAAATTCACTTCAGTTGAAGGGTTTTGGTGCTGATCTTCCCCAATAGGAGCTAAGTCATGAACAGAAACAGTCACTTCTTGTCTGTCATCTAATCATATGTAAGCAATGTGTGCATATACACATATTGATCTATAAATAATTAACTCACAATCAGCATTCCAACTTCCCTACAATTTCCTCCTTCTGTTAGCAAACAATGGTCTATAATTAATTTATCTACAACTCAACCATAAAGTACCTAATTTCTATATCCCTCCTGTAATTTTGAGAAGAGTCATTATCATTCCAAGAGTTATTCAGACTACTGAACTCATTCTTTTGTTGTTCTTATTGCTTTCATTGTGGTTACATTTCAACCAATTCATTTGCCAGACTTTAGATATACAATCCATAAGGAAAGAGAGAGGGGTCATTTTTTCCAGAAAATGATAATAAAGAGAAAAGAAATAGTAGCAAACATATTAATCAGATATCTATTCTATTGTTGAGAAATAAATACTATGGAAGGTTACATATTGACATTTGTAATTTCAAATGTTCCTCAAAATTACATGCACATTAAACATTTTGGTATGATAAATATTACTCATTGATTTTGTCCAAACAAAATATATTTAAAAAACTTTAACCTTGTTATCACTACCCTTTATTTTGGGGAGACATATTTAAATGCAAAAACAAAATCATTCTAGATATTCCTGATTCAACATGGTTGGAGATTTAAACTTTTAGCAACATTTGTAATATTACTTAATATTGCAAAGAAGTAGTTTTCATTTTGGGAGCATTTTCTAAAGTAGTTAATGAATATGGGAAAATTACAAGTAAACAATAATTTAAATAACATTGCTGCTTTTTAATCTGAAAAGAACTGTTTGAAACATGCAAATTCAATATATTTTAACATTTTCAAATTATTGTCAGCGCAAAATCGGTTAGAAATTGATTTTTTTAAACCTCAAATGACACTTCACTGAACAAATAGAATATATGTGTATAGATGTGTGTGGGAACATTTAAATGCCTATTTTACTGGATTTCTCATGTTGCCATTTTTTTAGAAAAAAAATCACTCTTTCAAATGATAATTTTTGCTTTAAATATATTTAACAAATTACATGGAAACTGTAAAATTCTCTTACAATGTCAGATTACAAATTTTTACATGAAAATGAAACACTGTTTTAAAGGAAGAAAAACATTCAGCAAAATAGAACTTGTATATTTTATCTGCAATAAAATTATCAGTTATTGTTTGTTTGCATTATTTTTGCACATATTGCTTGACATTTTTTTTTTAAAGTTGTATAAACTCCAGCTTCTTTCAGTGCTAATGAAATGATACAAAGACACACACAAGATAGACCTTATTCTCTTTCAAATTAGAAATACAAAATGAAACAAGCAAAATATAAAACATTTCATGCACAGGAAACAAATTTCTTATATAGCAGTTTCATTCTTCTATAAGAAGTTCATTACAATCAAAAATGAAATAAAACTACATTTTGTATCATTGTCTATTACTTACTGCTACAGTTTTGAAGATTACTAATTTGGTACAGCAAAATGTTCAAATTTCAAATCTAAATAGTTTGTTCATTTAAAATACTACATTTATTAGAAAATATATTCGGTTTAAATACAAAAGGACTCATAAAAATGACTTCAAAGAGCTGCACATTTCAGCTTATACTTTATTCCTGTTACCCAGGAGTTGTTGCCAAATAGAAAGAGAAATTAGTTCTTGCAACATAGATATCCATTTAATGCATACTTGCATGTGCACATGTACAATTTTAATTCAATGGCAGACCTAAAAATATTTATACAAAATTTAAAATAAAACTTTAAAAAATAGTTGTTACCAAATAATTTCCAAAAAGTTCTATAAAATGTTATAATTATCTGATTTTTTAGGGATTAAAAACAGGTTTTTCACTGAGAAATTAGTTGTGCCGTTTTTTCCTCTCATTCCACTTAACATTTTATCTGAATTCACCATGAATTTTTTTTTTTTAACAAAATTTAACTTACATTCACTTTATCGTCATAAGTAATAAATTGAATATTTATTTTGTGGTCATCTTTATGCTGTCAGTTTCTAGGTACCAATAAATAAAGAGATGAATAGACTGATATAGATATATGAATACATGAATAGATTGAAATAGACATGAATAGACTGATTACACAGGTAAACAAACAGATAGTTCAGATAGTTTGACAGACATGAAGTTGTTAAGATTTTTCCTTCTTTCTTATTTTTCTTGTATCCAAATTTATGATTTTGTTGATCACCCTAGGATAGGAGTTGTGCAAACTAAGTGGGAGGGGAATTTATTATTTCAACATCTTATTTCAAATTCAGTCAAATTGTGTTTATATGTGTGTGCATGTGCTTCTGGCACAAGCACAATGTATGTCACTCAGATATCTGTATACATATTATATACTCGCATGCAAAGTCAAACACACTGTGTAATGGACAGAGAATCAGTTCTTCTTTTATAATATAGATTATTGACAGGATGCAATCAGAACTACACATAAATATGTTACTAGAATTAACATTTTCCCAAAAATGTACTGATTGAAATCATCAGCTGGCTTATATATGCATATTATGTCTTAGTTTTAATATTTAAGTTTTCTTATTTTACCATAGATTATTC